CTATTAAATGGGTTACCTGTAGGACTGGGCAATAAATCGAAAATTTATCGTTATCGAAATTTCTGACTCTTATCGAGGTAATTGTTCCCATGTCAATACATTTGATGATTTAAAAAAATGAAAAGATGTGTGTAGGTTGGCAATGTTTATGTCCCTTTAAGAGGCTGTACCACCTTGAGTCACATAAAATGTGACTCAACATAATACATGAGACTTTTGTTTCTGCACATACCTGTAGTTATCGTTTATTTATCGTTATCGAGGTGAAAACCTCATTATATCATGATATTGATTTTAGGCCATATCGCCCAGCCCTAATTATCTGCTTGTTGAACAGCAATATATTTACCTTTACTAAAACTATTATAACACTTTAAGGTCATAATAATACAGCACTAGCAAGCAAACAGCAGTACATGCACAGTAAGGGTGCATTTGTTTTTTCTTATAGAAGAAGTAAAATTTTGCTGATTAGATCTTATTTTTCCACCAGTTACTTTTGTGTTGGTCTTCAAATACTAAAAACAAAGACACCATTTTCTGATTTGAGACATGAACAACACAGTGGCTTAGTTAGACTGGCTGTTGCTTCTTTAAGCAGATTAAATAACAGATTAAATGCTTCATAATGCTGCATGTTGTCCACTTAAACCAATAAAATATAACACACAGAGTTTGATCTCTCCTCTTCTGATCACTAAAAACAAAGACAGCTACTAGTGGTGAATTTCCTTTATGGTGTTTGCATGACCTGTCCAATGGTGTCCTCCCACACACCAAAAACGTGCGTGCGTGCGTGCACGGACGGACGGACGGACGCGTAAATACCAGGACAATGAAACCACAACTCTGCAAACAAAATCTCTTTTTTTCCATTTTTGATCAACAGAAATAATTTTCCCATCATCATCATAAGCAGCAGTTAACTATATCATTTAGTTATTATTACTTGTAAAAATATCTGCTATTTTCTAAATATTTAGTCAATATTATGTTTTTTAATTATATCAACAAAAATCTGGAGCCATAAAAAATGACTTTTTATTTAAGAAACTTCAGTAAAACGGTTTTGTAATATTATTTTATTATATTATAAACTCTTAAACGTTAACAAAACAACAGACAACTTAAACATGTAAACCTGAGTCCTTTGTGCATAGAAATAAATACTGTAGATCTCCGCTGTTCTCCAGAGTTCCTCCTGAGGTCGGTCCAACATTATTCCCTTAATCCACATAAGTACCCAAGAATTCCCACAGCAGTGTCTCCTCTTAAGTCCTGATCTGTCCAAAGAGCCAGTCTAGGGGATCTTTTCCCCTGCAGTCTCGTTCCCTGCTCATCAGGAGGGAAAACTCCTCCGAGCTGCTGGAGCTTCTGGAAGTCCGTGTCATGAGTGGAGACACACGGGCAACTGAGACCGAGCCTGAGAGCTTCATTTGAGTCTTTGAGAGCTGTCGCAGTCTGGGGGACCTCTGGAGTCTGACGGGGCCGTAGCTCGGAGCCTCAACAGGGCAGGCGAGTGCCTGAATGCTGGTCATGTAGTCCTCCAGAGAGTAGGAGGTCTGAGTGGGCTGGAGGGGCGAGGGGTGGACAGGCATGTCCTCGAGTGTCTCAGTGATGGTGGGCAAAAGAGGCAGAGACAACAATCTTCTGCTTTTCATGCTGCAATTAAAGAGTTAGGATTATGTTAAAACAGTTGCATATTCACCATAGGTGTATTTTTCTGTGGTAAAAATTGCTCATAAAATGAAATCAGAAGAAGAATCGTGCTCACCTTCGATGCTTGAGTTGTAGAAGCTCTGAGATTACCAGGCTGATGTCGGGTCTGAGCAGGAGAGTGTGAGTGGATGGGAGGGTGTATCCAGGCTTTATAGGCGGGCTGTGGTGGAGCGATTAGCTGCTCCTTCCAAAAATAGCTCCACTGACCTTCCCTCGCATCTGTGTGAATCAGTGTGTGAGTGTGTGTACATTGGAGGGTGTGTTCATGCCTGCCCAGGAAACTCAGGAACAGCGGGTTAGCTGACTCCAGTGCAGCTGGGCTGAATGTTTATATTCCAGAAACAATGAAACCTTGTACGAACCACCAGATGAACTCAGCCTAAAAACAACTAGTTATTAATGACTATTAATGACTTTTTCAGATATCAGAGGGCTATGAAATCATAAAACGTGTAAGTGGCGACCATTTTATCCATTCATTTCTTCAGCTGTAATCTGGTGAAAGGCTGCAGACACCATGGACAGGTCTCCAGTCAATCACAGGGACACAAACTGTCTCACCAGGGACAATTTAGAGGCTCCAGTCAACCTGACATGTGTGTCTTTGTTCTGTGGGAATAAAACTGGAGTACCCGGAGAAAACCCACACATAGGGAGAACCTGCAAACTCCCAACTATCATGTAGGTGGTAATCAAACTGGCAACCTTTTTGCTGTGAGGCAACAGTGCAGGGGTCTCATTTATCAAACATTGCGTAGAATCCTTACTAAAACCGTACTTAAGCTCAGCAAAAAAAATGTACTTACGCCAAGTAGGTTTGTGATCTATCAAACATGGAGTACGCACAGCTGCACGCAATCTCCGCTTCATAAATCGGAGACTGACGAGAAAGGTTCTCAGCTGCTTTTAGTCACATCCCGCCCTCACCACGCCCACTTACTGCTATAAATAGTCATTGCAAAGTGCCTTGTGGATCTCATGCATATACATAAGCCGGCTGTTGCAGCGCTCCGCCAATGACGATGGTGACCGTAGATCAAGGCAGATCAAGGAAGCGCAATTTCACAGAAGCAGAAATTGAGGTACCTGTGGGTGAGGTGGAGAAATGAAAGGAGGTGCTTTTGCAAAACAAATAATGAAAATCCACGGAGTGGCACAACGTTGCTGAAGCCGTCAATGTTGTGAATTCTTCAGAGAGATCTGTGGTGGACATTAAAAAAAATGGTCCTATCGGCATTCGATCCCCAGACTCCCGGGTGAAAGTCACGCCCACTAACCAGTCAGCCAAACCGAGATCTCCCTTGTCCAAGTAGCCAGGGGGCATGATCAATCAGGTTACAGTGACAGGACACACACAATCACACACGCATGACATTCTGTCTCAATCTGTCCCCCTGCTGATATTCTGCATCCCGTATTTTGCACTTCAGGCTGTTTGTGTGTGCGTGTGGGGGGTCTTGTTCTGTGTGAAAACGAAGCAGTACAAGTGATAATGCTGCAGGTTCATAATTTTGTCCTTCTCAGCAGCAGCACTGCAGGTGCTGTCCATGTCCAAAATGTGCGTAAGACAGGTCCTTAGTCAACTTAAAGTTGTGCACATTTTTCCGCTAAGTTTTCTTTCATAAATCCCAAACTTTGCTTGGAAAGTTGCTTAAGCAGTTTTCCAACCCCGTTTTGTGCGTAAGCAAGCTTGATAAATGAGGCCCCTGCTCATTTTCTATAAACCTTTAAAAAAAATATGTAAGGAGCTCACGAATAAGCTGTGAATGTGAAATAAGGGTAGACCGATATATCGGGCCAATATCAGCATTGGCTGATATATTAAAAATGGTCAATATTGACCGGATATATTGGCCGGCCAATATATCCGGTCAATATTGACCATTTTTAATATATCAACATCGGCCGATATTTTTTCTTAGTAAAGCTGATTTGAAGACAAGTACATCCTCAGCTGTGACGTAAATGTAAATTCACATTCTTGAATAACAACTGCATAATAAATGCTCAAAAAATATTTTCAACTTACATTTCTTTTTATATTCCAGTTTTGAACATTTAATACTTGGTCAGTTAATTGATTTGTTTGATTAACTTAAGTTAGATGTCTGATTTTACCACTGAGCGGTGCACAAAATAAAGATTTAACGATATTCAAAAAATGGTTCAGATTCAGAAATTTTGTTCATCAACTGATGCTATTAGTGACGTTTTAGCATGCAAATAAGGCAAAAAAACATTTAGATGTCGGCCATGAAAATTGACCCAAAAAATCATCAGCACATATCGGCCATTGGTTGACCATGCTCTCTAGATATCGGCATCTGTATTGGCAGTAGAAAAAAAATCAATATCGTTCGACCTCTAATGTTTAATGTGTCAAGAAACTGTATAGAAGGTCACATGCTTTGCAATGAGAATTTACAGATATGATCTTTTTTTTTCTATTTGAAAACAATTGGATGGATTTTTTTCAAATATTTAAATGATTTTGAATTGACTTCAGAGACAAATTGATGGGATAAACACAAACAACACAATGTTTGAAGCTGTTTTGAACTATATTTCATCATAGCTCTGCGTTAAAGACGTCTTTGTGTCTCCGTTTATTTATTTATTTTAATTGCCCCAGGCTGAACATGACATCTCTCATCTAATGATGATTTGATCTAAGATGACTTGATCTTAATTACCGAGACCTGCGTGTGTTAAAAGAGCTGTGTTGTACTATGGGGTATTGACTTATTTACGGTGGTTAACATGCAAATAGTTTAGGATCAGAGCAAACAAATAACATTCCAAATGTGACTCTGATTGTTATCAGATTCAAAAGACAGAAATAGTTGACCTGCTTTGACCTCAAGAGAAAACTTATGTAACAAATGCAAATGTTTTGTTTATTTGGTCGTATATGTGGATTTAAATGTAAATTGGGACCATTTGTTCTTCTTTACATTGAGAGCACGTACATCACGGTTAAAATTTTTTTTCTTCTAAACAAACTTTTTTGATTAAATCAAACGCCTCCCTCCTTGGTCTACGTGACCCACAACAGCCACGGCTCTGTTCTCTTTCTCTGTGACCTTCCCAGACGTGACTTCATCCTTGTGCTGTGGAAAAAAGAAAAAACCTGACTGACTTTTTCTAAGATTTGAGAGTCCACCGTGCAGCTGTATGTGATCGTTCCTGCACGTACACCTGATGCTGAGCCTCTGTGGCAGCCAGCCAGCAGGAAATCCTCTGCAGATTTTTATTGTTCTGTGTGTTGTTTCTTTGTGCAGGAGGATGGAGAGCTCCTCCTCGAGGGGCTGCTAAATATCTACTGGGGTCTTCGCCGACCAATAAGACTTCAGATGTTTGATGACAATGAAAGATTTCGACTCAGCAGGTGAAAGAAGCTGACCCAGACTGGCACATTTGGGCTTTAAGGGGCTCATAAAACAGATGTGGACGTTTTTATAATTAAACTCAAATATTAGCAGAGAAATTCACGCAATAACACCAAACCCAGGTTGATTTATGTTAGTTAGGCATGAAAATAAGTATTTTTTATGTTTTAATGAACACATTAATGAAAAGCATGAAATCTTAAAATCTTTTGTTTGACTTTTTATGGAGCTAAGATTGGGACGATATTACAAGGAAATTGTTCCAAGTTTTTTAACTGTAACTTTCATTTGGTAACACGTAACGTTTTTTGTAAGACGTAACTTTCGTTTTGCAACATGTATTTCTTGTTTTGTAACACGTAACTTTTGGTACGTAACATCAAACTTTCAACTTACAAACGTTTTGTTTCTTGTAACTTTCTATCACAAGTCTCAAAACACACTTGTCAGTCTACAGTTACGAACTCAAGTCTACGGGTGTTTCTCAAAGCCAAGGAACCTCGCCTTGATGTCTTAGCCCCGCCCCGGTTGCCTAGGAGATACGTCATCAGGAGCCGCCAAGACGTGTTCCAATGTTCATGTTCTACCAAGGAGTGTATTCTCCGTTTGTTAGCCGTTTAGCTAGCTGAGCAAGGATACACGGGAGGTGTCTTGTAGCCTAGCCTTGGTCAAAAATTACCCAGAATACACCGCAGTATTTTCTAAAGGATGGCGGATCAGAAGTCGGCAGCTACTTCTGGGGTAAATTTCAAGTTTAAATGTAAGACAACTAATTAAAAAAAAATTTTTTTTAATCAAAAGCAGATATCTATGGTTGGTTGGTTGCTTATTAGTTGCAGGTTCGGTGGCTAGCGGGTAGTAACTCACTTATATATTACATTTAACAAATATATACACAATTTAAAAAGTAAAAGCTTTGTTATATATTTATATTGAAACTAATGCGTATAAAATATAGCGTTATCTCCCGTGTCACGTGATGTTACGTGACATCCGTGGAAGCCACGGTCACATGATGCATGTCTGTTCCATTTAACCATTTTCTTTGACCAAGGAAGGACAGTGTCCTCGTAAGCAAAGGTGCCTGGCCTCGCAAGACATCACCTCACAAGGCCAGGTGCCTTGACATTGAGAAACACCCTACATGTACAAAACATTTAGTCCTAATTGCAGCTTCTTTCCCAAAGAACCAATGACAGGCTTTGTCTTATCAGCTAATCACAAGTCTCAGATATGAAATCCTGTTCTAATTCAAAATGTAGGTTCTTTATTTACATCAGTTTAATTTCTCTAAAAAATTATTATGTAGGCATGGAATCCAAGGCACATGATAGGCTGATCAGACAAAGCCTGTCACTGGTTATTTGGGAAGGGAAGCTTGAATTTGGACAAAATATTTTGTAACACGTAGATTTAAGTTTTGTAACTGTAGACTGAGATGTGTGTTTTGAGAGTTGTGATTCAAAACTTTCTGCAAGTTTCAAAACAAAAGTTTCATGTTACATACCAAAATTTGCATGTTACAAAACGAAAGTTGCGAGTTGCAAAACTAAAGTTACATGTTACACAATGAAAATCACATGCTACAACTCGAAAGTTAGTTATAAAACGTGGTATAAGTTACAAAACTTGGTACAAGTTACTTGTAATATTGCCCCAATCCTAGCTCCACAACTTTTCATTTTAAAACAAAGCAATTAAAATAAGGAATCATTTTTCTTAAGTCATTACTTTGCCCTATCACAAACAATAACCCAGAGATATCAGAAAATTCATTAGTTTGTTTTATGTATTTTGACATATTTCTCAGAATAGAGATAATAATAATAATTGTAGACTTGTTTTAAGACATTTAGACTAAGACATTCCTAATTGTTAATCCGTGTTCTTAAACTCATTCATTTTCTTTAAATGAATATTATATCTACAGTTTGACTTTTTCTCCTCCCCAGGAGTGAGAAGTCTTCTGTGGTTCAGCAGTCATCAGCAGAGTCCAACAACAACTCCCTGAGCAGAGACTCCAGACCTGCTGGTGAGTGTAAACACGTGCAGTCGTCCTCACACTCATAGACCTGCTGGATTATTACAGATTACACACACACAATCTGCAAGAGATTACAATTCAACAGGTGCTTCATTCAGCACATCTTGTGGAAAGCGTGGCTCACATGTTGGAGCTTCAGATCACCAACACCATAAATGCACAGGCTTAGTCTTCTTAATTATCTCCCTAAACGTGGATTTGTAATCGGTTTAGTCAGCTGCTCCAGGGTTCGTACTGACAAAACAAAGCAACTTGCTTCGTCCATAATTGTAAAGGTTGGTTGGGTAACTTTATAGGAAATTATTAGCTTTATCTTTATTTTAGAGTCTAGCTTTTATCTACATTTTCAGTGTTATTTTTTAAATAAATGTATATATGAAGTTTTTGAAAGGCTTTACTTTTATTCTTAAATAGAGGTTGATCCATATGCCCAACCAGCATCTATAGGTAGAACCCAAATGGATGTACTTGGGCAAACAACATGGGTGCCAACAGGTTACTTATGTGGTTTCCATGGTGGCCCCACATTGGTTTTCAGGGGGACCCAGATGGTTTGACTCATACATGGGGTTGTTGAAATCTATGTGGGAAAAATCCTTGTGGGACCACTAGGGTTGGGCATTGTTTGATTTTGAATGATTCCGATTCCAATTCCTTGTTTCAATTCCGGTTCCTATCGATTCCCGATTTCGATTCTTTCAAGAAATTACATGCTTTACATGAGCTAGCTAACCACAGGTCCTACTTGATGAAATAATCTTAACTTCAACATGAATTTTAATTCTATGAACAACAACATCACCTTCATTTAGACTAAAATGTGTTTTGGAGAAAAAAGACTTGCAGCACAATCAGTGTGTTTGTTTCTGACCACAACCAAAGTAAGAGTAAGATTTAGGCTTTGGGATGAGAGGCTAAATGTCTCCAACATATCCAGAAACGTACAGCTGTTTTCAGCTAAAACTCTCAGGATGATCATGTCCAGGATGACTGAGAACTACACCTCCATGCTGCTGCAGCATTCAGTCAGAACAGAAAGTGAAACTTAATAATAATAATACATTTTATTTCAAGCGCCTTTCAAAGCTCTCAAGGTCACTGTACAAGACAAAATATAAGGAACAGCAAGCAATACAAACAACAAGAAATAAATGCTAAGAGTAATTCCCAAGGGTAGAGTCGGAGCAGTACAATGGATAATAGACTAAAAAGAGTAGATGGAAGAAGGACCGTTACAATGAGTAAGCCAGGTGGAACATGTGAGTTTTGAGTTGAGACTTGAAAGTTGAGAAGGAGTTTATATTGTGGAGGTCAGGCGGTAGAGTGTTCCAGAGTTTTGGAGCTGAGTGGCTGAAAGCTCTGGCTCCCATAGTACAGAGACGAGTGCGAGGAACAGACAGGGAAGGTGAAGATGATGATCGGAGAGAGCGAGTGGGAGTGACAATGTGGAGGAGATTAGAAAGATATGGGGGAGCGAGATTATGGATGGCTTTAAAGGCATGAAGAAGTATCTTATAGTCAATTCTGTATTTGACAGGGAGCCAGTGAAGTTGTTGCAGGACAGGGGTAATGTGATCAAAAGTGGAGGTCTTGGTGATTATCTGGGCAGCTGAATTTTGGACTAACTGTAACTTGTTGAGTGATTTTAGAGGGAGACCAGAGAGGAGGGCATTACAGTAATCAATGCGACTGGTGACCAGGCTGTGGACCAAAATAACAGTGGAGTGTTGACTGAGGGAAGGGCGGAGCCGACTGATATTGCGAAGATGAAAATAAGCAGTTTTTATTGTGTTGTTAATATAAGGAATGAAGGATAAGGTGTTGTCTAAGATGACACCCAAGCTCTTAGCTTTGGCGGTGGGGAGAAGTGTGGTGTTGTCGAAGCTGAGTGAGAATGAACTGGTCTTGGATAGAGATGACTTGGTGCCAGTGAGGAGGATCTCAGTCTTATTACTGTTGAGCTGTAGAAAGTTAGAAGAAAACCAGGATTTGACTTCGGTAAGGCAACTGAAAAGGGAGGATGAAGAGAGCGGGGGGTTTGGTTGAGTAGAAAAGTAGAGCTGGGTGTCGTCGGCGTAGCAGTGAACATGAATATTAAATTTCCTGAAGATATTGCCAAGTGGGAGTAAGTAGATTATGAAGAGAAGGGGACCTAAGACTGAGCCCTGAGGAACTCCAGAGGTAACTGGCTTGGGGTTAGAGTGGAAGGTGCATAGTTGGACAAATTGAGTGCGATTAGATAGATATGATTTGAACCAATTTAGATGAGTTTTTGAAATGCCGATGGTGGATAGTCTATTGAGTAGAACGGTGTGTGTGATGGTGTCAAATTCTGCACTTGAGATCGAGTAGGATGAGGATGGAAATCTGGCCTGAGTCTGCTGCAAGAAGGAGGTCGTTTGTGATTTTGATCAGAGCCGTTTCTGTGCTGTGGTGGGGGCGGAAACCAGACTGGAAAACTTTGTAGAGGGAGTTGCTGGATAGATGAGAGTGTAGTTGGTTAGCAACAGTTTTTTCAAGTATCTTAGAGATAAATGGTAAGTTGGAGATGGAGCGAAGGTTATTGAAATTGTTGGGGTCTGAGAAACTGGGTTAGAGCTGCAGTTTCAAAGGCTGAGGGAACGATTCCAGTCCAGAGGGAGGCATGAATGATGGAGCAAATGAAGGGTAACAGGGATGAGAGGCAGGATTTAACCAGGGAAGATGGGAGTGGGTCAAGCTGACAGGTGGTGGGCTTGGATTTGCATATTAAGTCTGAGATATAAGAGGCAGCAGGAACTGAGAAGTCTGAGAAGGATTCCAAGAACATGAGATCGTCAGGGGGAAGTATGTGGGGGTCAGCCGGGCTAAGACTGGTGGATTTGGGTGATTTTATGGTTAAAAAAGGAAAGGATGCTATTACAGGTGTCAGTGGAGTAGAAGTGAGGGGGTAGTATAGAGGGAGAATTGAAAATTTTATGGAGAACTGAGAAAAGAGTTTTGGAGTTTCCGTTGTTATAGTTGATGAGACTGGAGTAGTAATCTGATTTGGTATGAGAAATAGAATCCTTATAACGGGCTAGGTGGGCGATGTACAGGTCTTTGTGTATAGAGGCCCGTTCTCTTGTAGAGGCGCTCCAGCTGGCATCCTTCAGCTTTTAATGTTCTGAGGTTAGATGTGAACCAGGGGGCAGAGGAGGAAAAACAGACAGCACGGGTTTTTAATGGAGCCAAGGTGTCAAGGATGATCAGCTCTGAAAAGCGTTGATCACAATTTGCAGATCACGTTTATTTTTCACGGAGATCGGCCGCAGATTCCTCTTCCGGTCGGCATTCTAGGAATCGAATCTTGGCATCGAAATAAAAAACTTTGAACGATTCCGGTGAAAATGAACAGTTGGAACCGGTTCCAATCGATGCTCGATGCCCAACTCTAGAAACCCTGTTGGCACCTATATGGTTTTCCCATATTTATCCGTATGGAGCCCATCTATGCATGCAGGCTGGGATACATTTAAATAAAAATTGCCAGCAGCAGAAGGCTGCCCACGGATATGCCTGTTTTGAACCTTTTGATGCATGAATTAGGAAATCTTCAACCATGATTTTTTTAACCATTTTTTTCATTCATCTTTAGGTGTGAATGAAACAAATTTCAACAAATATTTTTTGTAACATTAATAATTTACTAATAATTTATTACATGCCCACCCCACTGGACAGCGTGCATTCTGAACATGAAAAATGTTGGCTTGAATTACTGAAGTTCAAATGGACGGGCTCAAATGCAATAAAGTCTTCCAACAGCTGGGCTTAATAGCAAAAAAAAAAAAAACTATTTTGAGTACCTGTCCACTGTAGTGACCATTATACATCTAAGGGTTATATCAGGTTAACTGAAGAGACTAGTCTAGCCACGACCCAAAGACAGAGCTCAGGCGCAGGGGAGGAATCTACAGATGTTTTTCAAAATGTCGCTGCACAAAATTAGACAGCACTTAGACGAATTACAGCAATAAGCAGTGTGACGTATTCATAGTAAATTCATTCAACGGGAGCCTCTGCTCATGCCCCAAAGTAAAGCACAAGTCAAACTTTTCCAAAGTTGAAAGCTGTTTGAAACGCTGCGTTTAGCTTCATTACAGATCTGCTGTCATCGGAAAAAAAAGAAGCTCTGGAGTAACGGTACTAACCCCACTCAGTGTCTCTCTACAAACATAGAGTGCTGTGATTGGCCCGGCCTACACTTAACCAAGCCAATGGTAGACCTGCTGAGTGTGGCTAAATATTTGCTGCTGCCACAGTATGTCTAGATTTCTAGGATTAAAAGATATTTTGACCGATGCTGATGTGTAATAGATTGGTAAATATCGACCCGATATATTAGCCAACCCATATAACGGTCTAAGCCTATTCTCAGAGAAACGAGGTGCTGCTTTTTGATGTGACACCTGATGGCTGTGTGACTAGAGGTTCTGTTTTTTTATATTAATCCCTGAGGTGGTGAGTTGGGTGTTCAGGAGGAAGAGGACTCCCCCCAGCTGCTGAGGACCAGGAGCGATGCTTCCTTCATGCGAGTTCAGAGGAGGTCAAACACACACTCTGCCAGAGATCTGCAGCGCCTGCGTGCACACAGGTTCTCCATCAACGGCCACTTCTACAATCACAAGGTACAACAAACAGAACACCCATCCCTCCATACATCCACTCTACTGCATCCCGTTGCTGACAGATCCCCAGGTGCAGCTGGGCAGTGGCTTCCTCTGAATGTTCTGCTGCTCAGTTTCACAACAGTTAAGTTTCAGTAGCACTTGCAGTCGTTTCTGCTCCACACAGCATGTGTAAATATTGATATTGAGTTGATTCCAGCTGCAGATGAAGGGATTTCCTTTGTTTCACTTTTCCTGATCAAAATGTCCACAGTGTTCAAGAACACACGCTGAACTATATGAGTGCACTAATAGCTTTGTACTAAAACACAAAGTCAATTCCAGTGACATCATTTATTTATCTTTTTCCATTTTTTTCTTTCTCCCAGACATCAGTTTTTACTCCGGCCTACGGTTCAGTCACAAACGTGCGCGTTAACAGCTCCATGACGACCGGACAAGTCCTCAACCTGCTGCTACACAAGTTCAGGGTGAGCGGGAGGTTCTGATCTCACCTCGTGGTGTTTAATCTGAACGTTAAACTTAAAATAATCTCTTTTATTCAAGGTGGAGAATAAAGCAGAAGATTTTGTTCTTTACATGGTGCATGAGTCTGGTGGTGAGACAGTGTTTATTCTGGTTTTACAACAAAAACAACTTTTTGTTTTATCTATTTAATGTTTTATTTTGTTTAACTTTGTAGAAAGGAGCCGATTAAAGGTAGACGAACGCCCACTGGTGACTCGTATTCTTTACGGGCCGTGTGAGAAAATATCCAAGATCTTCATCACAGAGGCCGACCTTGGAGAGGAAGTTACGTATGATGTAAGTCCGGTTCCCACGCAGCAACCAGCTTTGTTTTTACCTTAAGATAAATAATGGTTTTTATTTTTAATTTTTTAATAGTTGTAAGTATACTGATACAATGGCCCAATGATAGATAGTAGGATTACATTTAGGAAGCGGAGGAAAGATATCCTGTTTTGGGACAGATGCAACAATAGGCTGAGATGACTGAGTGTCTGTTGTGACCTCGCTGATATTGTAAACAAAACAAGAAGCAGACTCATTCGTATCAGTAAGTTTAGAGGTCAAACCTCCATAAAAGTGGTAGTATGAAGTGATCTGGGGTGTAATAGTAAGTCTATAATCCCAGTTCGTTTTTTTCAATGTCACAAGTCGGTTCATGTTCGGTACAGTGAGAACAAAGTAAGGTAAAAGTTTTTCAACAATTAAAACTTGCGGAAAATTCTCTAACAAAATATTCTCGGATAACAGTTGCTAGGTGACAAGACATAAACCGCGGCTGGTACAACCATCCAGTTTTAAAACCATTCACTTACGGTCTTCCCACTCAACATAGGACCCGGTGTCTGGTGCGTAAGCCAACACTGACATGAGCCAATTAATATAAATATAAACCACAAAGTAAAAAGATCCATACTGTTGGACAAAAAACATTACAAGTTCCGTAGCAACAAAGCCAGGTCACCATCAGTCTGTGATTTTGTGGCTCCCTTTATTTCCCTTAAGCTTGTGTAGGCCGCATCAATGTTCACTCTGGTTTTAGCTCTTTGATTTACCTGCAAAGACATTATTCTCCTATTTTTTTCTCCAGATGTATGGTGGTTCTTTCCTCCTGAAGAAAGGATTTGAAGTTCACCAAACTTACAACCATTTTCCATCATGTTTTCTTCGTGTCTGGTTCGATGACGTGAAGCACATTTGTAGTCCAGGACTTATTTTCACACAAAATCGAAAATAGCGTTTTCCTAGTCTTTAAAATTGACAGACATCATATGTGAAATCCATGGCACAAAACAAGCGGCATTAGAAAATAGCGTTTTTAGCCCCATTGACTTGCAGTCATTTTTTCGTTCTTCTGGGGACCCATGGTCCGGAATTAGATGGGTGTGACTTAGGCTCCTTATTGTCTTAAAGCAGGTAAAGAGCTCAGTGGCGCGCGGTGAGGTCCGTGACTGGGGAGGCACTGACTGCTCTGGAGTCAGCCTTACAAATACATGATACCAAAATAGAAGCTTGTATTTTATTTTTGACATTGATTGAAGTTTTGTGTTGATTTAAATCTTGTTGGTTATAATTGAATCAGGTTCATACTATTCAACAAAACACTAACTAGAAAAGTAAAATAATATTTAATATTAGGGCAAGTTTGACTTAAAATGTATTCATTATTTAAGGAATGAGCAGCCGCGCCTCTGTCAGTGCGCCCCAGGGCAGCTGTGGCTACATCGTAGCTCATCACCATCAGTGTGTGAATGTGTGTGTAAATGGATGAATGATACACTGTAGTGTAATGCGCTTTGGAGTCCTTACTCTGAGAGGCGCTATACAAGTGCGGGTCATTTATCATTTGATCAGGAAGCAGGTAAATTCAGCGATTTTGACTTTAAACATGATGAAATCATACAGAAAACTAATCATTATTAGTATTGTACTTGTCACTATGACAAGCCTCTTCTGACTGTACGTCACTGAAAGAGCCCCCCCCCCCCCCCCCCCCCCCCCCCCCCCAATAGATACCTACCCACTCCACAAAACTGTTAAGTGCAGCTTCTTGCCAGCAGAGGGCTGCAGAGCGGTGTCAGATAGGACACTGGTCAGGTTTCTAATTCAACCATCACTGAGATCAATGTTAAAGCTCTAAATTCAAGTTTAAAAAACTATTTAGTGTTACTTTAAAGTCAGCTGGATTATTTATTTCAAGTAGTTGTGAATCAGGTAACTTTAGATTGAACTTGTGATGTATTTAGAAACATAATGTTTGTTTTTATTTATGATTCATAAAAGTGCCATGTGTAGATAGAGTAATTTGACAGGATTATTCTTTTTTTTTTTTTTTCCAGTGTCTGACTTGTGTTTTCTCCACCATAGGTTGCCCAGTACATAAAATTTGAGATCCCAGTTTTGGACAGCTTTGTAGAGAAACTTAAAGAGGAAGAAGAACGTGAAATAACCAAACTGACCCAAAAGTAAGTCAGCAGAACAAAATGTTCAGCGATTTAAATGAATTATGTGAAGCTAATCCGTGTGTCTCCTGTAAGAATTTGGAATCAAAATTAGCAGCTGACCTTCGGCGAGGACAGGATTCATTTGAAATGATCATCAGTCACTTTCTTAATGGTTGTATAATAATTTAAATAGTATGACTGAAATATTTTGTCCCATGAGGAATACTACTTTATTCTTCTTATTGTTACAGAAATGAGCTATTAACATTTACTTACTGAAATTATTATCTACATTACATTAGCAGACCTGCCAACCTGTACGCATTTTGGCATCTATTTACGCTGGTACGACTCACCCCTCTAAACTACGCAAAAAGCTGCGGATACGTGAGTTGAGTTCTGTGGCCAATATGCACGTGTGGTACTCATGTCTGACAACACGACTCAGCGGCGTGGTGAAGAAGTTTAAGCAAATCATCGTAGAAAAGCAGAGAAAAACCAGAGCTAACTATCCTGCCTAGCGTAACACCCCCGCCCCCCTCCTCCCTGCTTCGTCCTTCCCGCTGCTCCTCTCTCCCTCCAGTTCGCCACTCGCTGCTGTTCTGGTAAGGTAAACTGTGTGTGTGTGTGTGTGTGTGTGTGTGTGTGTGTGTGTGTGTGTGTGTGTGTGTGTGTGTGTGTGTGTGTGTGTGTGTGTGTGTATTTTGCCTTCATCCATAGCAGATAGATTTGGCCTGTATATGAGGAGGAATGTGATTATCTAAACAGTTTAAGCATGCAGCCATTTTTTTTTCGCAGCTCGTTTTGCAACTCATGCTATGGCAGATGAGGGAGAAGCAGACAGGCAGGGATTGGTTAGCAGACCTGCCAAAAAGAAGAGGGTCCATATGTCTCAGAAGTTTTTGTCCAAATATCAAGAACAGTGGCCATGCTTGTGACCCTCCTAACAACCTCAGCATGCATTTTGCACAGTCTGCTATTATGATGTGGACGTAAGCCACCAGGGAGCTGCAGGTAATTAGTAAATTAGCCCTGATGATGTGTGCATATGTGCTTTAAGCCAAATTAATATTACATTCTTGAGAACAGAAACACCTATTGCAATATACAAAATAAATCACTACCATTAAATGCATATAAATGTTTTTTATTAATTTGTATTGAAATAATCGAATGCAAGTAACTTGTAGAAGCACAGATATTATATAAGGAAACTTTAGAGTTTTACTGTTTAATATCAAAATACATGATACTTTGGAGTCAGGGCAAACTGTAAAAATGTCCATAACCTTACTAGTCAAAATAAGAACTATGAACGTGTGTGTGTGTGTGTGTGTGTGTGTGTGTGTGTGTGTGTGTGTGTGTGTGTGTGTGTGTGTGTGTGTGTGTGTGTGTGTGTGTGTGTGTGTGTGTGTGTGTGTGTGTGTGTGTGTGTGTGTGTGTGAGAGAGAGTAAAATTTTCCATTCAGTGAATGGGGAGATTACAGCGTGAAAAGCAATGAAGTTGCAAAACGTCGCACAAGTGGTACCCAAAAAATGTTGACAAGGTTGGCAGGTCTACATTAGTTAATAAACAGAATTTCTAACAATGCGTTAGAGTTTATTCCCAGGATGTAGAATCAGCAACAAACATGATGAGTGTGAAATTATGAGGGAGATGCTATTATTGCATGTGGTTTTATCTTTATGTGGGTCCTCTAATCATTTACAGAACTATGGCGATAATTATGGGTTTGATCAGAAGTTTTGTACAAACTTTAAACATGTTTGTGTTTCACTTTTCATTCCTCTGTTTACCCTTCCTCTGTTTAAAACCTTTTGAATTTTATTTTTGAGTTACAGGAACACATTTATCCTTAAGTAAATCACATTTTATTTGCTCAAAGGTGAAGTATAAGTCACTTAAGGAATGGGGTCATTGTTTATTAGATGTGTCACTGATGCACATGTGCCATGTTACACAGCACACTCTTAAAATATAACATTCAAAACAAAAGATGCTTTTTTTTTGGTGAAACGTTTTTTCTTTGTCTTATCATGTTTTAGGTACAGCGCTCTGAGGTCAATGATTCTACATCAGCTCGAAGACAGAGGCCACGCCAGTGATAGAGTATGAGTGTGTGTGTGTGTGTGTGTGTGTGTGTGTGTGTGTGTGTGTGTGTGTGTGTGTGTGTGTGTGTGTGTGTGTGTGTGTGTGTGTGTGTGTAAAAGAAAGGGTGGGTGCAACACTAATAGTTTGATTTACTGTAGAAACATTTCCTAATATTGTAATGAATGTAAAAATGAACAAGCGCTTCTTTTTGTGATGTACTTTTTAGAACTTCACATCAACACTTTGTATGATGACTTTTGTATCGTCTGTTCTGTGTTTCATTATCACAGTTTTTATATCTGATAGTATGGAAACATTGTGGAGGAAATTCCTGCTGTGCATATTATTTATACTAAAAGGTTTTTGTAATGATTTAATCTTTAATAAATCAGCCTTAATGTTTTTCTGGGTCTCCAAACGTTAAACTCACTACCAGTTTCCCACCACACACAGATTAGCATTGGTTTTTTTGCTTTCCTTGCCAGCTTGTTCCCATGAGACGTGTGTGTGTGTGTGTGTGTGTGTGTGTGTGTGCGTGCGTGCGTGCGTGCGTGCGTGTGTGTGTGTGCGCGCGTGTGTGTGTGCGTGTAGCAATACAGAGTGGAGGCCTGAGAGAGGGCCAGTTCCTTTTTCCCACAGTTTCACAAATAGGAAGTTTTATTATTGGATGGACCTTCCGTCAGGTGACTGGTTTACTTATTGTTGTTCTTTTAGTGATAAACACATTGTATACACACACCTATTTTTCCAAAATATGAGAAGTTTGCATAAAAAACACCACGTGAGAGTAACTGTAATAATGTTAAAGTTGCTAAGGATAAAGGAGAAGAAAAAGAGAAAACACGTCTTAAGATCTCAAGATATCTTGTTTATCTTAATGCAGAAAGGTTTTTTTTATGAGTGGAGAACATATTAACCACCGAAGCTGGCGAATTCTCAATAGAGATAAGGCAAATTAACATTTCAGTCTTCAGTTTTCCTTCTATCATTGTATTGTTGGATTCTGGGCTTTTAAATCATTCTGAAAAAGTATTCAGCTGCTGGATGCAGAAGATAGATGAACTGAAAATGGAAATAAAACAACATTTGTTACTATTTTCTCAGAATTCAAAGGTTGCCATTACAGGAAGAACCCCAAATGAGTAATAAAAAATACAGAATAGAGAATCTATAGAAAAAAACGGCTGGATTTCTAAGAGGGTAATTACCAGGCTGTTCCACAAGATGGCAGTATTGGGATGAGCGTGAAAGTTTCAGTAAAACACTAAAAGGAAAACAAGAGAAAGCAGAATTAGTGTTCTTCAGCAAGAGCTCAGTTAGTTCATATTCAGCGCAGGAAGAAATTCTTAACTATTCAACAAAAACAATTATAATTTGTCTTTATTTACAATTGTCAAATTTTTTTCCAGACACAAAAAAGTCCAAATCACATATTTATATAACAGTATTTGTTGTAATGTTTTTGTAATTTATCCCATTCTGCTCTTTTTGCCC